ATGGTTAAAAATATTTGAGAATTTATTTGAGAATTATTTAAGACAATTTTTAAATATAATAACATACTATGGACAAGCCTTAGTGCGCACTCAGTGCACACTAGTGCAAGTAACCGAATTCGCTATTAAAAGGTGTAAAAGTGGAAACACGCCAACAGACCTGCTGATCGCGCACTGCGCAGCTCACGGAACGCGCGGGAAACCGCCGAGATCGTTGAGCGTCACAGCAGCGAGCGATCGCGTCGAATCGTCGACGTGTGGCTTTCCGTCGTCGCGAAAACTCCTCAGCGAATATTCTCGCGCGAGACTTGCCGCGCTCACCGTCGCGATCGTGAATCGCCGGATTTTTGGCGCCAACGCAGCCGCCAGCTAATTGACGCGCCATGTTTGGGCGCCAAACGCCGGCCGGGAGGGCCAATCGGGTGCCTCTCGGAACGTTAATTGCGTTTCGTCCCGTGAACTGTGAGTCAGTTCCCGCCTCGCTCGCTTCTTCACACGATTCGTCTGCGACGTACGCGTATATTGTCCGACAGAATCTCGACGAATCTCTGCTGAATCGTGACCATGCCGCTGCAGGAGTCCACCAAGGAGAACATCCGCAAACACCTCGAGGACGTGTCCTTAGTGAGTTTGTACCAGAAAATTTGCTCGAGCTGTCTTTACCTCGCGACTGCGTTGTCATGCCTCAGTTGTTTTTCTTTTCCTCTTCTGTACATCTGTGTAAATGAGCGGATGAACGACGGTTGCTCGTTGTTTGTAGTAAATAACGTACAGATTATATGTACATAATCGAAAGTTTTTTTTCAGGCTTTTTTTTTAGCTGGCTTTTCTTTCGAGTGTATTTCGCGACCGACTCTGAATCAGCAGCTTTTTTGCGCGCTGTTACGCGGAAAGTGTTCCTTTTGTATTTGTAGCTTTTAATTTTAATACATATACGTACGTACACAATGTGTATAAGCGATTACACGATGCGTGTAAATAAGATTTATTCTGTAATTTATGTGTGTGTATATGTGATATGTGCCATGTGTGTAAGGTATAGATATGTGTTTGTGTATCTTTGTATGCTTAGGGCGTGTGCTTTTCCTTCCATTCTACACAGAACTCTATATTATTCATCTGAACCAAAGAGCATTTTTATTTCATGTAAAATTCTTTAATACTTACAAGAGTGTATTGTCATTTTTTTCAATGTTTCATAGTTGTAAAATATTATTTTGATTTTTCATAGTTGTAAAATATTATTTTGATTTTTTATAGAAAAGTAATAATATGCCTGTTTATATTTTCCAAAGAGCAGGAATTAATGAATTATTTTATAAAATATATGTTGAATTTTCAAACTCCAAAAATGTGTCTATATATCCTATTTTTTTTTATTAGAAAATATTTTCTATTTTTTATAGAGAAATGATTATAAGTTTATTTATATTTTTCAAAGAAAAGGGATTAATAAATTATTTTATAAAAAGAGATAATGATTTGTATTTTTACAAAATAATAAGAATTTGCATATTCCGAATTATTTATAAAATAACTACTTAATTTTCTTTACAAAATAACTCATTAATCTCATTTTTTTTAAATGGCTGTCATTTTTTATGCAAAAATCAAAAGAATATTTTTTAATAAATAAAAGTAATATGAAACAATTTCTTAGAGTTTAGAAGGCCTTTCTCTCTCTCAGTATCTGCTCCAGATGTTTCATAAATTACCACCACCGTCATTATCCGTAGCTTAGGACCGATTGTTCCAACCTCTTGGTAAGCTACCTGACAATCAAATCATATGTCTATCTTTGTCCAATTCGAAGAAAAACCGAAAACACAAGACATGATTTAACTGTCAGGCAGCTTACTAAAAAGTTGGAACAATCGGCCCTTATCGGGGCAACTGAAGAGACTATCGATTATTCAAACGCGACCCTCGATTAGATTTAAGCTGTGTAATCGCCCTTTGCCTCTTTGACAATCCGAGGCGAGCGATTTTTCACGTAACATGAACCAATTACGATCTCGCGCTTCAGTTGCATTTGCGATTTTGTATATGACTCATTCATGATTTCACTCGGATCGCACTCGATGTTCCTGGTTATGTTCGGACACGTGTCACTTGCGCGCTTGAATAAACGTGCGGTTGAACGCGCGCACCACGTATAGTCGCGAAAGAGATGTGTTTGGAGCGCGAAATTATTTATACGTCACGCGAAATCGCTTAATTCTGCGTGTCGAATGCATTATGTTTGCTTTCAGCGATTGCACGACACACACGACCGCCACACTCGTATCCGTGTGTGTGTGCGCGCGCGCGCGCCCAACACGAGGCTCGGGATGGCCAGTGCTCGCCGCTCAGAACAACCCAGAATGTCATTAATAACGTCTCGCGATTCCGCACTCGATGTCAGTGACTTGGGATGAACGGTGAAAAGGTAGACAATCTCCTCGCGAATAGCACCGCGCGAATTCAACTGTCAGGCCGGCCGTGCAGTACCGCCGAGTGTCCACCAGGGTTTCTTGTACCATTCTTGTAGGTTAAAATATTTTTAGCAGCATACGCGTGTCGGCATGCGAAATGACTTATCGACGGGACCGTGAAGTCTCACGTGCCGAAACGATATCTTCGCGGAAATGGGCATCCGTTGCTCGTTGCACACGATTATGCAACACGTCCCGCGACGCGTTACTCGCACTGTTATGAACATCATGAAATATTTCCTCGAGTTGGGTGATGCAACGTGGCCATGAGAGGGATACTTTGCGAGAGAGACCGTTGCGCGATTCAATCTGCATGACACTAAGATAAAAATTTGCGACGATGCTTCAACTATAATACTATAACAATAGTGTGTTTACTGAACTGCGTGTGATGTTATCTTCTGGCGATGTCACAGCATAATTTAGCTTCTTGCAGTATTAGTGGTAGGATAAATGGATGAAGAACTGCTACATAATAGTTGCCATATAATAGTCGAAATTTACTGTTCTTTAAATACAACTCTACTCATTTTGCACATGTAGAAAAATAATGGGGAATGTTATATTTATATTCTATATTGATCAAGTGTTTCTTTCCAGACATCACCAAAGAAATCATGCATATCACCGACAATATCTCAGGATCATGGATTGAAAACTGGAGTAAGCATAATTTCTCCTTGGTACATTTTACTTTTTATCACGAGATGTGTCTATTATATATATTTTTTGACTAAATTAAGATAACTAAAATTGTATTAATATACTTTTACATATCTTTGCATGATATAAGAAATAAGTTAAATATCTACAAGTATAAAGCTAATAAAAGACTATTAATATATAAGACTAGGTGATATTAGATTTATAATATAGTTAATTTAATAAAATAAATTACATCATTTGCAGCTTCCCAAGACAAAGGCTGTGCGAAAGGTGCAGCTGAAGGAGGAATTCAACCCAGAACTGGAACCATTGCTCCAAGAAGAACCAAATCGCTTTGTAATCTTCCCTATACAGTATCCTGACATCTGGGAAATGTACAAGAGAGCCGTCGCCTCCTTTTGGACCATAGAAGAAGTACCTCTCCATAAAGTGAGTTTCTGGATTAATTGAGTGAAAAGTTTTATGACTAAAGTTTTCAGTTGCATTTGCTATTTCAAAGATAATTTATGAATTTCTCCACTTTCAGATCACATTCGTATATCTGATGTATCTTTCTTAATGTTTACAGTTAGATAAAAAGGAGTGGGAGGAGAAACTGAATTCTGACGAGAGATACTTTATATCCCACGTGCTGGCGTTCTTCGCCGCTTCCGACGGCATTGTCAACGAGAATCTAATCGAGAGATTCTGTCAAGAAGTGAAAATCTCAGAGGCGCGTTGTTTCTATGGCTTCCAGATCGCCATAGAGAATATCCATTCGGAAATGTATTCTTTGCTCATCGAGACCTACATCTCCGATCCAAAGCAGAAGTGAGTACGACAATATCGCGTTATGTAAAGTGTACAGTCAGATAATTGAATGTTGCAACATCTTCGATGAATTTCATGACGTATCCGATAGGATACATGTATCTTCTGAGAATCATAGGAAAATAAATTCTTCCATTGCATACAAAATGTGCATTGCAAAACACACGGAGGTAAAAATGTTGCGACGTTTAATCATCTAATTATATGTTGGAAACAGAGTTAAACTATCGAACGGACGATAAGTTCCCAAGGCTCTGAATTGATGAGGTCAGAAGCGAAAAAAGAATTTTTTGCATCTCATTTTCAAATAAAAAGATATTTGTACGGAAGAACATTTCAGGTATTCATAGCACCTCTATAAAAGTGGCTCTGCCTTTGAAAAACTAAAGGTGAATGTGTGAGCATATTTTATAATTTGTAATAGAAAGGACCAGTTTCTGCCGGTTTTTATTGGCCTGGATTTTACCCAAAAAATGTGAAATTTTTCCAATCCTGGTTTTCTCACTTCTGACGTCATCAATTTAGGATTCTACAGCACAGTGGAATCAGAAGCCCGAATAAAGTTATTTGAAAAAGAAATCAACTTAAAATTCTCGTTCACTATAGGACTCACTTTAAAAAACGATATTCATGAAGTTTGACTTCTTTCTGCAATATGTATATCATATCAACTTAAGACTTGTATATCATTTATGTGGATGGATGCTAATAAGTACGATCTTCATTCGCAGAGATTTCCTGTTCAACGCGATCGAGACCTTACCCTGCGTCGCGAAGAAAGCCAATTGGGCGCTGAACTGGATCAATCACGAGAGCGCGACGTTTCCGGAACGCGTGATCGCGTTCGCTGCAGTCGAGGGTATCTTCTTCAGCGGCAGCTTTGCTGCTATCTTCTGGCTGAAGAAGCGAGGAGTGATGCCGGGTCTCACATTCAGCAACGAGCTCATCTCGCGAGACGAAGTCAGTATAGCGCGGTAGTTCTTTGGCTACTTTGTGTTTTCATTTTTTATCTCCAACATTCTGTATTTATTTATTTCTATTGACACAAATCAGTAAAATATTTTTAACATAGCGTTTGATTGTATAAAAATTAAATAATTTTAAAACAAGTAACACATATTTAAAGATGAAGATGTGAAACTAAGAAATATAAAGAACACAAAATTGAGAGATTATATAATGTATATTATAATTTATATTTTTATATCTTAGTTTCTTTTATTTTTATATTTTATTGTGTTTAATTCTTTACTTCTTCATATAATTAATAAAATTTTAATAGTTAATAATAATTAAAGATAGCTAATTTCGTTTAATTTTCCAGGGATTGCATTGTGATTTTGCGTGTTTGATGTTCAAACACATCATACAAAAACCTTCATTCGAGCGCGTCAAGGCAATTATTATGGATGCCGTAGAGATTGAGAAAGAATTTTTGACGCAGGCATTGCCGGTAGAGCTAATAGGAATGAATTGCATGCTCATGTGTACTTATATCGAATTCGTCGCAGATAGATTGTTCGTTGCCTTAGGATTCGAAAAGGTAATATATTTTTATTCATTAACGTCTGTTAATATTTCCAAATTTCTTTAATTTACTAAAAAATATTCACACTCGAAAAATATTATATACTTTGATATACTTTGACTTTTTAATAGCAATTTAAACTTAGACTTCTTATAATGTGTTTGATGTATTTAAACGGAGTTTAAGGCTCTCCTCTTTGCAGCCATCTTGATCAATATCGTCAGAAATAAGAAATGAGTATGTCTGAAATTCTTGCAGAATACATCAAGATAAAAGATTATGTTCATGAAATGACACTAGTGATCGATTAAGCATGTTTATAAAATATTTCGAAAACTTCCTTTTTATTCTTACAATCAATAAATATTCGTAAAATTAATGTAACAAAATTATGAGGAAAGGTAAGTTAAAAAAAGATTGCATGCCACATTAATTTTACAAATATTTATTGATTGTTATAACAGAAGAAAGGATTTCGTGATATTACAAAATAAAACGTGCTCAAATCATAAAAAGATCATCCAAAGATCATTTTATGGACATAATCTTTTATTTCAGCATATTTCGCAATACAAATATATATATAAATATTTAAATATTATAAATATTATAAATATATATTTATATATAAATTTATATATATTTATATATATAAATTTATATATATTTATATATATAAATTTATATATATTTATATATATTTATATATATTAATATATATATATTTTTTATATAAATATTATAAATATTTTGAACATGTATCTTTTTCAGCATTTTTTTCTCGCTTCTGATGTTATCAGTCGAGTTTCGCGGCGAGTATGTTGACGTTCGCTGCGGCGGATCTCGTGCCGCGGGGCGCGGGCGATATTATGAAGCGTCGATTGTCTCGCGCTTGCGGCGCGATGTTGATGCTCGGATCTTTAATTTCGGTCGCGCGAGGAGAGCCGTTACTCGAGGAATAATACGGCTTCGATGACGTTACGCGACGGCGAGCCGGGATGCGTCGGAGTTTTTGCGGAGCGATCGAGCGCTGTGCCGCGGAGATCGGTTCTCCGGGGCGACGGCGCGGCTTCGCGGATGTCAACGCTCTGTATGCGGTGGAGCAGTAACAATGACGTGGATTTCGCGTGTCCGATAGCCTATGTCGCTGTTACTTGCCGAAGTTGACGCAGCTGTCGGCCCGCGAATTCGGCAAGTCGCCGGAGCGGTATTGAGGAACGTCGACTTTACGAATCCAATAAGTCTACGCGGAGCGGTATCGAGGAATGTCGACTTTACGAATCCAATAAGTCGACGGAGCGGTAATCAAGGATGTAGACTTTACGAATCCAATAAGTCTACGCGGATATCGACTCTACGAATCCAACGAATCGGCGGAGCGGTATCGAGGAAGGTCTAAGACGGTGTTCTAGGCAGCGGTGTTCGCGAGGAGCTGCTGCTGTCGGACTCTTAGCTCTGTTCAGCGGAGTGCTTCGGAAGACTGCTCTCTTCTGAGCTTTTCGCGCGGTCTTTTATACTAATTTTAACCTGATATCGTGTTGTGATATTTGCGGTCGGTCGGCGATGTTTACATCGGTTTGTCGCGGGTTCTGTTTTCGTGACGAGTCGTTTCGGATACTTGGTTTTAATGTTCCGCGGTTCGTTCGATCTTTATATTACGGACGGCTCGTTACAAATTAATCTCGAAAAATCGATCTTTAATATTATATTATATTGAACTGATAAAAAAATTGTTTAGGTTTACAACTCGGAGAATCCGTTCTCGTTCATGGACTTCATTTCCTTGGAAGGCAAGACTAACTTCTTCGAGAAGAAAGTGGGTGAATACAAGAAGTTCGGAGTGATGGAGGAGAATTCTCAGAAGAAAAACAGCACGTCGGGCGTGGTGTTTAGCGCAAACTTTTAGCGCGGTAATGTATAAATGTATAAATGAAAGTTTGTTTTAGCAACATTTCCTCGCACTTTCCCTGCACTTTGAGTGTAGCATTTTGCGAAGAAAGATGAAAAATCAGCTAAAAGGGACAAATATGTAAAAAAAATGTGTACTTTGACTTATATTCTCTTTGATCGCTAAAAGCGTCTCTGTAGAAATGGCTTGTAAGCCTTCTGATTGGCTATGAGCTACTTTTAGAGACGTTTTTAACGATAAAAGAGAGTTTAAAATGTTTTTAGGTATAAAATAAGTGTTGTAGGATAAATTCGCACACTTCCTAACGAATAAGCGAAAAGGAAAAATTCACATCAAATTTCGCATAAATTTCACATAATTTGTACAATTTCTATTATAACATCGACAGCTTTTCATGAAAGTGTTCGATGAAGGTGCGAGAGAAATGTATAAAATGTTTATATAAGGCGCATATGACGGTTTAGTTTTGCATGAAAAGCAAACTACGCTTTGCCGGAGACCTGAATGTATAGTTTTGAGCGAATTGTAATTTTAAGACACTAACTGCGATATTTAATACGTGTAGCACAGTTACACATGAAACATCTTTTTACGATTTGATAACAATGATGATTCATTTTACGATGTGAATACACGCAACGTTTATAGCAATGTCGCATAATAATTTGTCGCATAATAATTTGTTCATCGAATTTCTCATGAACGTGAAATCGAGATACGCTGAAGATTGTCGTCACATTGATTGTTACAAAGTGCTACTTCATCGAATATGATATACTAAAAGAACGAAAAACCAAGAAAAATGTATATAAATCTATTAAAATTGTTACACAGTCTCGAAATTTTCTCGATAAAATTAGTACATAGTATCGATGAAATTTTCAGTATTCGTATTAGTTAAGTTCTTTCATTTGTACGTAAGCATTAACGCTAAAAAAATACTTATTGCGAAGACATGTAAATGTAATTATAAAGAGACATTGTAAAGAGACATTATAAAGAGACAATTGCTGAGAGAAAAAGTAATTATATTCAGCGTCAATGATAAAATAAAAAGAATTGAAAAGCACAGATAAGTGAAAGATACAAATTAATTTTTCAACGATTAATAATTTAGCATTATGTTGGACAACCATCCAAGTTTCGGGCATAATTCTGACAATAAATCACAAGTTACAGATGCAAGGGCTTCCAAAGGATTTGCGGTAAAAGCATTTTTCTCTGGTTTATTCAAATATACATTACAAAAATTTGTGTATACAGCTGCTTCAAATTTTGCTACAGCTACCTTATATATGATATAAAACTGAATATATGAATATTCAAAAATCGTATGAAAATATTCGTATGGAAGAATAGCATGTCAAGAGTGTCTAGTTGAATCGTGAGTAACTTCCAAGCTGTAAATAGAGAATAGTTATCTTTTTCTAAATATCTCTACACACACAACGGACTTACTTCTTCGACTCGATATCTTTCACGGAAGTCCGATGTGTTGGCATGTAGTTCATTTCAAACGGGAGGCACTTCGAAGCCCTTTTCAAGTCGTACGAGATATATTTTCCGGCACTCCATGTCATCGGCCGGTCTGTTGTACGGCAGCCAAACCGGCTCTCCCACGAAATATCTTTTCGCCTTTACGTAATTCTAGACGAATGACGAACGAATTGCGTGCACTTATACATCCATATTTCGTAAAATTATTTATAATATTTCTAAATTATTAAATTTAATAATGTGTTGATTTTTTCAACAAAAGGAAACAATCACATTTTTCAAAAAATGTCAAATATAATTTGTAGAAGAATATAATATGAATCATTTATAGTTATTTTTAAACAAGAAAAAAGGAACCAAATATTTTTAAAAATCTTTAGAGAGTTTTTTCTACTTTAAAGATCGCAAAAGAAAAGTTCGTGAGAGCCATTAAAATCTTACGTTAGAATCCAGAGTAAAACGGTGGTAGATTCCACTCGGTATAATTATCAAGTCGCCGGCCTTCACTTCGATCCGAATCCATTGATCCTCTTTATCCCGCACGTCGAAATAACCCGATCCGTCCAGAACTAGACGGATTTCCTCGTCAGTGTGAAGGTGCTCGGTGTAGAAGTTTTTCAGCTGAAATATGAATGAGTAAAATTTTACAGAAAACTGTAATGGGAATATTTTAGATTTGCGGGATATATTTAAAATTTTACAGAAAACTGTAATGGGAATATTTTAGATTTGCGGGATATATTTAAAATTTTACAGAAAACTGTAATGGGAATATTTTAGATTTGCGGGATATATTTAAAATTTTACAGAAAACTGTAATGGGAATATTTTAGATTTGCGGGATATATTTAATGTGATCCTTTTTTGTGATTACAAGAAAATTTATGTTATTAAAAATGAAAAATGTGCAATAACTATAATTAGTGAGTCTAATTGAACATGATATCTCTCATACCTTTTCCTCATAATTTTGTAAGCACTCTTTGGAGCACGTTATCTCGTCTTCATACGTGTAAGAACGGTCCTGTCGTAATTTTGTTAAAGTAACATCCTTCTCGTAATTTAGATGATCTATCTGAAATATAAATTATTACTTATATATATAAATGATTATTTTAATATCAACGAAAAAGTCAAAACTTTCAAAATTATGTTCTCAGCACAGAATTAAATATTTTATATGAAACAAAGATACGAAGTTTTAGAAAAAATATTCTATTAATTATAAATATAATAAATATAATAATAAATATTCTAAATATTCTAAATATAAATAATATATATATAATAAATATTCTAAATATTCTATTAATTTTCTATAAAATGAATCTTTATTTTATATAAAATAATGATTCTCTTCATTTTGTATAAAAAAATGAGTTAAATATTGGAATGTAATTAATTTAAACTTTCCCTTATTTACACGATAGTTCTTTTTTCCTATTTTCATTTACCAAGGAGGACGCCTCTGCACCGGTGCAGAAAGTTCATCTAAAAAGAACGGAACTCGCGCGAAAAAAATAGTTCGAGCGCAATTGCGCGACTTGCTATCGAACACTCAAGGTCAATCGCGAATGTCGACGACAACCGCGACGTTTCAAGACGCGAGGTACGACGTCGAGGTCGAGAGGAACTCGTGCAGTTTTGGCACGCGCGCAATTACGAGAAATTCGTCGACGAATCGGCGACTTTCCTAACCTCAAAGTACTCCACGCCTGTTTTGCCGAACAGCTCCTCCAGCGACACGAACTCCGCGGGCTGCCGATGATGCTCCAGTCGTTGGTCGGCATCGCTGTTGTCCATGTACCAGGCTCGCACCATATTCCTCGGTTGAGACGCAAAACGCTCGAGACGAACTCGTTCTATCAGTTTCCACGTGGTTAACCTATAATACGGAACTACGCATCGCGCGGGATCTGACGTAATCTTCAATAATCAGACTGACGGTGAAGCTGCTGCTGATAAAACTCGCTGATAACGGGGAACGGTGTGTTTGTCAACAACGGGATTTTGTTCGCGTAATCGCGAGCTTGGAATTAACTTTGAGTGTTTTTGGATTTTAACGAAACAAAGAGAGTGAAAAAAGTAAGACAGAAGTCGGTTAGGAGAATCGTGGTCTTCCGTTCGCCAGCGCATTAATTTAACTGATATTGTTAGTACTAGGAGTGTACTAGGAGTGTGTGTGTGTGTGTGTGTCGCATTTCGATAGTAAACTGAAGCCAACTTGTTGAACTGTGTCGAAGCCGGCTGATGCGAAATGGTCGAGTTGCAGAGACGTATCGGCGCATTGTCGTATTGGGTTTCAAGCATGCAGAAGTTCTGCATGCTGAAAGAGCAGGCGTGCGGACCGTTGAAGACTCTCCTGTCACGAGCGACCACGGAGACGTCCAAACAAATTGACACGGTCGTGCAAGGCATCCTCGAGATATACGACTCGTGCCATATACTACCGATGGACAAGTCGAGGACTCGCATGAATATCGATCCGAAAATTGATATACCAATCATTTCGGTAATTAAGCAGTCATTGAAGTTCCTTGACGTTTCTTTTAGGGCGAGGAGTTGTTACGGGTTGAGAAATTTAGTCCCAAGAAGTGACTGTTGCTCATTTTGTCACTGTTACTCATTTTGAAAATTAACTTGGCACTGTCATCGTTACTCATAAAATAATGAATCCTAATACATGCTAATTCTATGTGGATGCATCTCATACACTGCACTATGTAATAAGAATAAAAAGTAATGAATATTTCAGGTGACCAAGATATTAACTAGTTAGTCAATTACAGAAATTGAATAGTATATACATATTCTATGTGGAAAGTTTAAATGTATTGATATTTACAGACCAAAACAGTAAAAATTTTTAGGTTTAAATATCTAGGCATTGGTATTTTTACTTTAGTAAATTATTAATTTAAAATGGTTGTTTCAAAATGTATTAACTTGAACTTATCAATTTTTTTATAATTTAATATAATTTATTAATATTAAAGTCATTGCAAGCTGCTTACAATTTCTGCAACTCACAGGATACAAAAAAATATTATATAGGAAAGTTCATAATTTTTAATTGAACCTTCTTAATTTTAAACCAAGATAGAAATACCAATGTTTGGTACATACCTAATATTCTTAATTTATCCTATAAATATAAATATTTAAACTTTCAAGATAGAATACACAGAATATATGTATATATATTCTCTCTATATTAAAAATTTAAATATTGATATTAAGACCAAAACAATAAGAATGTCCAGGGTTAGATCTAGGCATTGGTATTTTTATTTCAATTAACTGTTAACTTAAAATGTGTTAATTAGAATTTATTAACCTTCTTTATGTAAGTTAAAATAATTCATCAATATTGAAGTCATTACGAATTGCTTACAATATAAAAGATCAAAAATAATGCTAGAAGAATTTGTTTTTGTCTTTCTAAATGCTAGTGTTTTTTCTTTTATAAAATGTTTTGTATAAAACTATTAATATCTTTTTATAGAAGATTACCTTTTCATTATACATAATGAACTTCAATAGGTTAATTTAATTTAATTTGAACTTAATTTTTAAGTTAGTTTTTGCTTAATCTTTGGCTTGGCTAAATTAATTTTATAAGCCATAACTTTAAATTTAACTTGGTTAAAAAAAATTAACTTACTCATAAGAGTAACAGAGATTTCTAAAAGGCTTTTAACGTTTCATAGAAATTTTTGTTACCTGTGATATTTGTTACCCAAAATATCTAACTGCTTTACTGTTTTCGTTATCAAGAACAAAAAAGATAACGCTCTTGCCAAGTCGTTATGAGGAAAAAGTAACTTGTGACAGTAAACGATTTCACAGATAACGCGTTATTTCATAAACTCTGGTTAATTAAAGCGTGTGTTAGTTTCATTGACAGTTTAATCGTCAAAAACTGAACATGGAGACTAGAGTGCTTAAGTCGCCGGCCTGTGACGGACAGCTACTATGGTGCGGGGTCCTGTCATGAGATATGGCTCGCGCGTGTCCACCCCGTAGGTGTCTTAGGAGGCCACTTACGGGGTAGGTGGCCGTCAGGCAGCAGCACGCGACAACGAGAGGAAATAGTATGGACAATAATAATAACAACGACGATGTTCCACTGCTTTCCAGAGTTTCCAGGTGATGCTGATGAACACCAACTTTTACTCGCAGTATCGTCTGGCGGAGGATGCGTTGCGCGGTCATCATGTAGGACTCTGGCCGCTCCTGTCGCCGTATCTGTTCATCCAGATAGTCTGGGGCCTACGGTGCGAGGAGCTGCTGCCCAGGTTCGTGCTGCATCTGCCGTTGGAGCTATCTGTCGAAATCCTCAGCACCGTCATACCGTGTCTGGCGGAGCTGGAGTTCGAGCGGGTCGTGAATCTCGTGATTCAGCTTACAAATTATATGTACAAATTCATCTACAAACTGAGCGTCACCGGCACGCAGGCGGACCCATACGAAGAACTCGTACATCAGTTGCTGGCGAACTTTCAGGAGTTGTTGGACCAGCTGACGAATCCAAGGATAACTCGGTTTACCGACTTGCCCGAGCATTTGAGGTGAGAACGGCTTTCTTTATTTCTGCTTCTTAGCTTACGTACAAAATTATCACATAACATTAAGCTTCCATAAAGTCTTAAGATCTTCTGAGCCAAGACTGGTCTTATTAATCGCCTACATCGCATCTGAATGTGCTTGTACTCTTCATGATTTAATTATTCGGCTTAATTATCATTATTATCTAATAACTGGTCATTTAATTAATCAACTGATTAATTATTCTGATGGCATAACATATCATATATCATGTGTTATATTCAGAATTGAGAAAATTACTCATTATGATTTAATTATTCTGCTCAATTATTAATAATTATCTAACAATTAATCGTTTGTTAATTCATTTATCATTTTAACATCCATAGATTATGTGTTACATATTCAGGATTGAGAAAATTATTTTTTCAAGATACAACTCGTTACCATTATTTATTTAATAAAAATCGTTGCTGTTACTAATTTCGAAAAATAATTTGTGAAAGTTATATTAATTATTCAAAAAATACCACACAATTGCCACAATCTCCGTTTCTTAGTTTTGAAGATCTTTCTTTTACAATTCATTATTGTTCATTGCATATGTTCTGTATATGTAGACTAACGATAAAAGTAATGATTTTTTTCGCTAATTTTGTCAAACAAAATAAAATTGTCAACATTACTGTTGCTAACAAAAAAGAAAATATAACACGATTATTGAAAGTTGTTACTGAAAAAGAAGAGGCTTGTAACGGTTATAAATAACGCGTTATTTCTCAACCCTGATCATGTAATATTCAACGTGATTAGAGCAATTTTGGTCTAGTAAATATTAAGACCTAATTGAAGCGCAGTTTGAACCGTTCAAATTGTATCTTCAGACTCGCGAAATTCGGTCAATTTGAGATTCTTCGCGCCCGATATGGCATTCGAAGAACTGCTCTAATTCGCACTTCTTGTCGGCAGATACGAGCGTCAAGGAATCATTTTGAAGAGCATCATTCGCATGAGCAAGTTGTGCACGATAGAGAAAACACACGGCGGCATACAGGACAGCACTGAACATTTTTACACACTTACATTCGGCAATGAAGCATGCCAGAAATTGTCATCCGAGTTACTAAAGTCTTGCATCAATGAGATGGACCAGTCTCTGATAACACTGTTGATGGATCATTTGAAGCAAGTGAATTGCAACATGTATCTTAGTTGGGTCGAGATAGACGACCGGGAGAACCCGTTAATGAATCTGCAACGCGCTATTATCATGGAATGCGTCTACTTCATGAAGGTTATAAAGATGGACGTCAAGTTGCAAGAAAACCAGGAGCTGAAAACGTGTTTGGATCAGCTGGTAGGATCGCACAACCAGCCGCAGTTGACGCTGCAGGAGATCTACAATGGCATAGAGTCAGGCCAACTGAAAGACATGAAAGACCTGCTGCTACGTTACCGCGAATGGAATGAGGTAACGTTGCATTTCATCTACACTTGGGATAAGTTGTTGCTGAACGAGAACTTTGAGGTGCTCTTCAAATACCTCAAGTATACGTTCTCAATGAAGCAGTATACGTGGCAGGAGAAGGTGAAGTTCCAGATATTGGTGATGAAGATAGCTCTGAAGCGTCGTGTGAAGGACCTTTATGACATCACGTTAATATACGTACTGCACCATTATAACGACACTTTCCTACAGGAGCTTTATAATCGAGACAACTTTTACGCTCGGATGAGACAAGTGACTGACACATGGGAGAGCCCAATTTTCTTAAAAGCACTGCTGATATACATACTGCACAGTCCCAAAGAAGTGTTGATGACTTTGATCTCTATGGCTATTAGCAAGTCCAATAATTTTACGTGCACAGCACAACAGCTTTTGATATTACGACCTTTTCTGTGCCTAAAACTCGATAACGGTAAGTCATTCTTGACGGAAATGCTGTATCAGCTGTGCTTGCAACCCCATCACTGGGATATACAGAAGTACACGTTTTTCATCACCACGATGTTGAAATCTTTCGTCACTTTGCCGGAAGATTTCATGATCAACGTGTTCATACGTTATCTGGTGGAGCAGTCGTTCGACCAGAACAACGTCACTTGCATCCTCTTAAGTATCTGTAAGATTCTCGACACCTACACGCTCAAAACCGGTGTAGTGGAGCTGTGCTTGGTAGTGGGGCGCAAGATCAGCCATTGGCGCAAATGTGAGCCGACGAAACTACGTAAAGACGTGAACGAGCTGTTGGTGAAGCTAGTGTTCGTGTTGAAGAAATGCACGCAGAAGCATTCTATGACAGTCCAACAGAAGCGACAGGTGTTGGATACTATAATATCGCACATCGAGCCATTGGATAAAGCAACCTTCTCGCCACTCTTATACATGGTGCAGAGCAACATTCTCACCATTATTGACGACTATGCGAAACGCTGCTACTCGGTGCGCAATAAATACAAACAGACACGGAAGATCAATGATGTCTATTTTTTCTGTAGGTATATAGACAATATCCAATTGGAGAAGCAGGATTTTGTCCGGCACATGATACTGCACGCCACCGAGTCAGAATATCTTGAATACTGCATGGACATGACAGTCAACTATTGGTTCTTCTTCGGATGGCTCAACGAAACTGAAGCCTATGATAACGTGACACGCATCACCATGGAGGCGATATGCATCGGACTCGAGCACTCGGATAACCTGCCCTACGACAGCTTCCTCGTGCTGTTGAAGTACTGCATGCATTTTACCGAACTTTTCATGTGGAAAAATGAAGGGCTCACCTGGTGTGACACAATCATGCAAATCCTGCTGAAGAATATGTCCATCGTCGTCACGAGCATACAATGCAGAAAACAATTGAAAGAGTACGAACAGCTTCTCACGGAAATGAAAAATATTATAAAAACAACGAAATTGTTCCCGGTAAGTATGGAAGCACAGTCTGAGGAACAAAAACCTCAAAGTAAAAAAGATGGGGACATCTCAAAAAATCACAATGCCAAAGTCAGAGTAGAGTTATCTCCTGAAGTGTAATTTTCTTGGAATATTGTGGAAGTATGCAATTGTCACGAAAAGTTTTAATACTGCTGATCTTTTTCTCTCCCCCTCTTTCTCCTTGTCTCGCTCCCTCCCTCTTTCTCACTCATTCACTCACTCACTCATCTAAGTACAAGATAATATATAAAAAACCGTTTTCTTTATATATATAATATTAATTATTATATTTAATAATATTTTATTAAATTAAAAGTTATTATTAAGCGACATAATCGTAATAATAATAAAACTATAAATATATAACAATAAAATAGCCTAGGTATGATAAAACCGTTATTTTATCATACCTAGGCTATTTTATTGTTATATATTTATTGTTATATATTTATTGTTATATATTTATTGTTATATATTTTAAATTACCTTTAATTATTTTATAACTTTTCGGAACAATTGCATACTTCTAACATTTTAAGAAAACTCCGGAAATTGCTCTTTTAGAAAATTGACCAACTTTTAAATTCCGTATACACTTTTTCTGTTTTTTCTTATTCCCAGAGCAATGTATTAGTTCACAGACGTATGAAAATGAAATTTGTTTAACAGATGAAAATTCCTTGTGATAAATTATAAACATTCAAATGTTTCTCGTGAAAAATATCGGTACACGACATATCTGTGAAGTGATGCATCGATGGCTTTATATGGACGACGTTTTTCTGTCTGTTTTTAAAAGATATCACTTAACACATCCCTAAACTAATATAGTGAAATCGTAGAGTTTCACATTGCATATATACATAATGTGTTTTCACAGGCTATTTGGGTCGAAGTTGATCGATTTATAACATACATAAATAACGAGAACGAGCAGTCGTACAACTTAAATGACGAAATCAACGAAAGCAATAATTTGGAGAATGCGAATATCGACGCGATGTTCAACTCCTACAAATTAATATGCACCTGTTTTTCGATATGCGGCACGGAGAAGCATCATCAATTCATCGAGAAGCTGGAGGACATGATGTTTTCCGACGAGTTCAGTTATCTCAATTATCACCCACTTTAACTGGAAGACTGCAACAACGCAATGACGTCACGCAAATGCGACGATGATACGATGATCTCGTCAATCGTTCGATGCGCGTCACGTTGGTAATTACGATTCGAACTCGAACGCACGCTCCAAGTAGTATCGATATCGTCCGTGGCTAATTCTTAGTGGACGTGCATTGTCCTGAAAGAGAAAATCTTGACGAAATCCGAGTTCCGAGACAATTTACCAAAATATTAGAAGCATGTAATTATGCGCAGAAATTCTGGCGATATAACGAAAAATTACGTAACAAAATATATGATTAATGTGCCGAAAATTTTTTTATGTATTTATTTGTTTACGAAAGTAAGCAAATCACATCTCTTGCGAAACGTTCTTCTTTCGGATGAAGTTGGAAATATATCTGCGTGATAATCGATCATGACAGGAGCCGAAGTGGTGGGCATAAATAGTCTGGAAAAATCATAATCTCGAAATTCGAAACCGAAACAATTTCTCGAAAGTTGTAATTTCGAATACAGAGGCATATTCCGAAGTGCAATTTTTCCCCGAAGTGTACAGTTAATATTGAATAAATGGGAGAAACTTCCTTTGTTACAAAAGGAATATATTTTCACATGCAGAGACGTGAGGTATAAAAAAAATAGTAAAAACTGTTTCGAGAAAACAATTACACTGAAAAGATATTAAATATATCAGTATATATACTGATATATTTAATATTTACCCATTAGCATATACAAGGTGTTCCAGATTAACATTGTCTCTTTACGAGAGCGTAGAACAGATTGAGATAAACATAAAAGTCCTATATCATTTTACGATATTTATAATAAATCTCGAGATATTAATTAAAGAAGATTAGTGAATCACGTGCGTATGTAGTGGCGCTGTGTGTGTTGTGTGTTTGTACATTCAACCAAATTGAACAAAAAATTATTTTGCAAATTATCATGTAGATTTTAAATTATTCATAAAAGAAAATTGTTATATAATTATGCGCGCTAATACACAAATTTTCTTTAATCAATATCTCAAGATTTATTCGCAAAATAGTAGAGGACTTTTTTGTTCAGTTTGAATATGTATAAGTATACAATGGTAGACGGCGCCACTGCAGCTCATCCACCAAATCACGCGTAATCATTCACTAATCTTCTTTAATTAATATCTCGAGATTTATTACAAATATCGCAAAACGATATTGAACTTTTATGTTCACCTTAATCCGTTCTACGAAGTTTGAGAATGGTGATCTGGAACACCCTATATACATATATATATTCTTACTATACTCAAATGATTAGATACTAATACAGTTACAAGGGGATAATTCCAATATTTCGGTAAAATTGTATTCTCCCAGAGGATTGTCTCAATTATATGACACTTCTAGAAATTGTTCTACTTTTTACATTTTTTTACGTGTCCACTAAGTCGAAATAATAATACACGGTGTAAATATTGATCTTTTATTATATAAAAGATTTTATTAAAGATACTTACGTTTTTCTCTTGTATTCTCAAGTGAACGTCGGATATCTCGTATATTGTAATTTCGTTTTTTTGTCATAACAGATTACAGCGCAGGCTCATAAGTAGTGACTGGCAATGATTGTCATTTAGTACACGCCGAATTTCATCGGAAAAAATGTGTTGAAACCATTTCGCAGACGAGTACAATGCGTATTATAAAATTAATAAAATGAAACTCTACATGAAGATGGGATAAGAAAGGAAAAAAACATTTCGGGAAAATAATATATCATTTTGTATCGTAACTTTTCTAGATAATTGTATGCTTCTAAAATGTCAGAAGATACTTTTCTGTATTTCGGAAGATTGCTTGGTAACCGGATTTCAGGATTATTTTTATTTTTCGGAAATGAACCCACTTTTCGAATTTCGAGATATTATTTGTCGAAAGGATATGCTTTTTTTCGCGAATACCTCGGGACACGACATCTAAGTGTAAGGATACGTACAGATTGAGACAATGTGCGATTGTCTTCATTTTTTACAAAATGTAGATAAACATTTCTCATCTTAGACAGCGCGATCGACATTCCTTTGAAATATAGATAAATTGTGTTCGATAAAAGTTCATAGTGATTTTTACGAAAAACTCGAGACTGATAATCGGACATAATCTTGTTTCTCTCTCTCTCTCTTTTTAAAGAGCCATAATATAAATTTTTCTTATTTGTTCATTTTTCTTCGATAATCTGTCGTCCAAAAAAGAACACGTTACTGAATAAAATTGTGCCGACCATAGAAATAGCGGCTTTGCGAATCTTTCGAAAAAATCTCTACACTGAGAGAAAAAATATCTAAAAAAAAAAAAGATATTTCTTCAGTGAATACTGATAGCATATTTATTCAAATAGAATAGACAATTCTATTTTTCATGAAAAGCTAAATTTGTAAAAAAATGCATATTTTTTTGTTTGAAGCATGAAATAGCATATTATTTACATAGTATAATATCGATAGTCTTTGATCTACAATGCGCTCTCTGTTTCTTGTTCTCCGTCTTTTTCTGACTTAAGGCTTGAGTCAGAAAGATAAAGAGGAAGAAACAGGAAAGAAAGAGCATATTGTAGATCAAACTCAACTGTCTATATATAATATGAGACAGCTTGAAAAATATTTTATATATTAGTATAAGTGAATATATTATCAGTTGTCACCGCGTGAATATTTTTAAGTTCTTGGGAATTTTTTCTCTCAGTGTATAGACTCGTTGAACAACTCAATATATTTCCAACGATTTTATGAGCAGTTCGGAACCTCACAGTATATACAATGTGAATCTACGTCGAGACCTTACGAATTGCTCGCTAAAACAATTCCAACGGCGCCGAATTCAGGACGATATCGATATCATTTGGCGCGTACTCGATCGCTTGACAAGTTCCTTGTCACTTTGACCTCTCAGCGAGATTTCCGTATCTACCTCTTAGTGAGTAGTTTGATTGAAGTTATGTATGGAGAGACGAACAGTCGCGGAGATCTTCAGAAAGAAAATACGAAGACTGAAGAAGACGTTCGTGTGAGGAGTAAGTTTTTTACTGAAGATGCAAATGCGATACGTTCTTTCATTCATGATAGTGAGTTCATTTGAATCGAGTCGAGGCCGTGTCAATCGTATTTTCGACTCTCGTCCATTGTGTAGAACTCTTGTTCCGAAAAAGTGCACTCGTTAGGAAGTGTAGAAATCAAAAGTGTTATCGCACAATTTTCCACATGCGCAGACGAACGCTCAATGTATGTTCATAGAAGAGTGTAGATAAATAAGACGCGAAATGAAATATAAAAAGGATTTATTTGAAACGTATATATATATATATATATATATATATATATATATATATATGTATATATATATATATATATATATATGTGAGCGTTATACCTATATGTATAGTCTTCTCCTTAATCACAAGAGTTAAGTTCCTTTTTCTTTTTCTATTTATCGCGACATCGTACAAACCCAAATTACGACTACCTAATTAGCACGATACTTTACAACACGGGAATATTATGCTGCGTACGACCTGCGTTTATCAAAAACGTCAACTCAAACCTTTTCTTCTTCTTCTGTTTTTCTGTATAAACGTGGCGAAATCGATCCGCGCGACGAACACGAAACTCCGTGATCGTTGCTCGGGGCGGAATCCTCTCAGCCGCATCTTTTATTTTCTTGCTCAAATCCGACCAAAACGTTCTCTCCCATAGACATCACTGTTCTAAAATACGACACCGAAAACGGTCTCGAAATAACGACACCCCCAGACACGTGTTTCGCTAATTTGCTCCTTATAGCGTCCGACAATTAATAACAAGTAATGGAACGAGCAAATGATGATACTCGACGGACAGAAAATAGCAAAACTGATTATTCCTCAAGTCCCATTCCTAGCGAGACGAAAAACGTAAAGGTTAATCTCACCGATTGAAGAGGCTATTTTGGAGAACGTCTCTAAAAATAAAACTAGCGTTATTTCGGGGCCGCATTTTCACTAAAAAAGAAACTCGAATCGACAACGTCGCCGAATATAGATCACGGGTGTTTCAACATCGAACTGTTAGAGCAGTGATACGCAGCCAACACTTTGCTAAGGATCATAGTTCACAGAAAGACGTGAACAGTAAACGAAGCGACCAATAAAAATCGAGTATTATCGACAACGTAATACCACAATATTGCAATATTGTCTTGACTGCAATTAGTCAACACGCTTGATGCTTACGTCTCACTGATCCCGTTTTTTCGTGTGTCATCGCCCTGAAGATGGCTCTCACCGAACTTTGATAGAGCCAGAGTTGTGAAAATATTAATTTTTCTCAATTTAATAATTGATTTGAACAAATACCAATTCAGCTAATTAACGATTGGTTCAAGCGAAATCAACCGAAGAATGTTTAATTGACGATTGATTTCAACCAATTCAATTCACGACCTTTCAATTGAAGACCTTTCAATTGACGATCGATATGAGCGAAGAGAATCAAAGATCGTTCAATTAACAATTGAATTCAGCGAATTTAATTAAAGGCCATTTGATTGAACCTTGAAAATTTAATTAAAGACTGTTTAATTGACAATTGATACGAGTAATCGATTCAATAGATGAGTGTGCGATTATTTAAGATTACCATTGCTTTTGTGGATAATGTTCATTCTCAGAGTTTCGTGGAAAATGCCGATAATTGAGGAGGACCTGCGTTCAAAGGAGCGCTGAACATATCAATCGTCATCAAGCAATCTTCAAATTGATAAATCGATTCAAATCACTAAATCGATTGAATTTACTCATGTCAATCGTCAATTAAGCAATCTTTAATTAAATTTGGTAAGTTCAATCATTAATTAAGTGATTCTTAATCAAATTTGCTAAATTCAATTATTAACTAAACAATCTTTAATTCCCTTTTGAATTCCTTTAATTCCTAACTAAATTCGTTTTGAAACCAATTGCCAATCGAAAGGTTTTCCGATTGAATTTATTGAAATTAATTGTCAATTAAACAGTCTTCAATTGAATAGGCTTATATTAATCGTTAATTAAATACGATAATTGATAAAAAAGTAATTAATTACAACCCTGGATTGAACTAACCGACGAGCAACCGAATTGCCAATTTCCACATTTGCAATTAACCTCGTTCGCGACGAAATCGGGAAACTAATAATTCCTATCTAATTTAGCAAAGCAGAGCTGGTAATATTTGGTCGATAGCGATTGTGAATCGTCGATCAGACCAATCAGAGCCTAGTGAAAGCCACCCTCATCTTTTTTGCGCAGGATCGTGTCCAGAATCGGCGATACGACGGTCAGGATGATACGATCGGTTTGCCCATTTCTCTCACACAAATCTAACAAGTCTCTTTCTGTGCGCCGAAGTAGCCGCGCGTTACAGTGGTTAGTAGATAAGTGAAGTAAGAAAAGAAAGTCCGCGCGCGAATCAAGACAAAAAATGTGCATCAGAATTTCGACTCGTTCTCTTTTGTTTTTTCTTATTTATATCTTCCTCACAGAATAAATCGTCGAATGGATAGCGACTGTTCGAGACACGGTGGATGAGAAGAGAGAGGAGATCTCGTCAGTTCGACGGAAAAGAAGCACGAAAGAGAGAGAGAGAGAGAGACGGAAAACTCACGAGATGCTCGTTGCGAGACGAGTGCGATTCGCAAGCACTTCGAGATGCAATTCGGCCATGACTAGATTCTCGTGCGTGCTGGTACGTCGAGGTAAAAGCGTGCCGAATCGCTAGATCGCCTCCGTCCGCGCACTGAGAAAAGAGGCATGGTTGGTCCAACTAAAATTATAGTTAAGTTTTTTGGCCCCAGCCATATTTTTTGGTTGTTCTAACACAAGAGTAGCAGTAATATGCATATAAGATCATTACAACGTTAACGTCGCAGTAGAATTTAATTGGAAAATGGTTCTTTCGACCTTACATGATTTATAACAATTATTTCTCTAAGTACTAAACATTCCTTTTCTCAGTGTGGACTTGGG